TGCCATAGGGCATGAGGGCTCCCTGGAGATAGAGAGATATAGTGAGAGGAAAGTGAGAAATCACTCCCCCTACCACCAACACTACCACCACAGGAGATGGCCACAGTGCAATCACTTCTCCATTCTCCTCCTGGGATTTTGGACATGCATGCACATGCTCCCTGCATGATTTTCAAGCTGCTGGATCTGGGGCTTGAACCGCGGTTGGCCATATGAGAGAGTTGTGTCTCTACAACCACACCATTTGCTGGTCTTTTGCTTAGATTGTTTTCTTTTAAATAATTATTTTTATTTATTTATTTATTTTAATTTGACCAGAAAAGGACAAGTGAGGGAGAGAGAGAGAGAGAGAGAGAGAGAGAGAGAGAGAGAGAGAGAGAGAGAGAGAGAGAGAGAGAGAGCTGCCAACCACAGTGAGAAAGCAAGCTGCCAAGTCCAGGACTCCAACCGTGGTCAGCCATGTGGGAGTCCAGCACCCTTAACCACCACACCACCTGCGGGCCCTTGCTAAGATTTAAAAAAAAAAAAATCACCTCCCGGAGAGGAATAAATGTTATACTGTTATCAAAAGTTAGATTTTTATCAAATTATTGTGCTTTGTTGATTAAGAGGGTAAGATGGTTTTTCCGATTTATTGTTAATATGGTGAATTATGGGTTTAAAAATTGTTTTTTTTCTTTCAAATAGTAAACCTTGCTTTTCTGGGATGAAATCCACTTAGTCATAACATAATATCTTATTATTATTAGATATAATTTTTTAATGTTTTTGAGGGTAAACTCCATACATTGAGCTCTCCTCCCCCATCACTCTCCATGTATTTCTCTGAGTTCTGGCTGCAGGCCCAGCTGGACATTGTGAGCCCTTGACACCATTCCCTCATCTCATGGAACTGGCCAGTGGCTATGGTTAGGTATGCCTCACACCTCTTGCACAGTAAATATCACAAGCTTAGAGGCACTAAACCCCAAACACTATCCCAGACATAGCCTGTTGATGCTAGTGCTAAACTAATCTGGTATCGAAACACTGAAAAAATGTCTTTACTTGATTTGTGCATTTTTTGTTCTAAGTGTATAAAGCCTGAGCCTGGGTGGCCAGAAGATGGCATAGTGGTTACTGGTGGACTCTCATGTGGCTGACTGTGGTTCGAGTCCTGGACCTGGTAGGCTTGAAAATCAAGTGTGTGTGTGTGTGTGTGTGTGTGTGTATGTCCAAGATCCCAGGAAGAGAATGAAGAAGCGATTGCAGTGTGGCCATCCCCCCGGGAGGGAGGATAATTTCCCATTTTCCCTCTCACTGTCTCTGTCCTCTCTGGTGAGCACATGTGCCCAATGGCAAAAACCTCTTTAAAACAAAACAAAAACCACCCTGGGCCCATATTGGCTGATGGCATGGACGGTTTTCCACCTGGCTGTCAGTGGAGCTTCCCTAGTAAGTAAATTCATGTTTTTCTCTGCTGGACCACCAAGCACACATGTTCCTTGGAATCAGTAAACATGGTGGTCAGGCATCCCCGCTGTTTGGAAGCCTCCCAAAACATTTTTGTTGAGAAATTTTGTATCTAGCATCTACTTTATGAGGAATAATGGCTTGTAGTTTTATTTTCTTGTAATGTCTTTGTTTTTTGTATTAGCGAAATACTGACCTATTAGGAGTTGTGAAGTATTCCTTCTTCTGCTATTTTCTGCAAGAGATTATGTAGACTAGGTATTTGTCTCTTAAATGATTGTAAATATTGCCAGTGAAACCATCTGTTTCATTGAGTTTTGCGGAATTTTTTTGAATCTAGAATTTTATCTTAAAAATAGTTATGTGGTCTATTGATTTCTTTTTGGGTAAGTTTTTTTTTTTTTTTTTAAGAAAATATTTTTTATCTAAGTTATTGAATTCACGGGCACAGATTTGTTCAGAGTATTCCCTTATCATATCTTGGTCTGTGAGATCAGTAGTGCTGTCCCCTCCTTCACTTGTTGTTTTGGTAATTTATGACTATTTTCTTTTTTCCTGGTTAGCATGGCTAGAAATTTCTCAGTTTTATGGGTCTTTTCACTCATTGATTTTTATTCTCATAGTTTCCTTTCTGTGTTTTCTTTGCTTTAGGCTTAATTTGCCCTCTTCCCTTATTGTATTATTATTTTATTTTTTCACAGATTTTTGCCACAAGATGTGCGTGCTCCCAGGGGAGAGATAGAGAGAGAGGAAAAGTGAGAAATCACCCTTGGGGGGATGGCCATACTGCAATCCCTTCTTTCCATTCTCCTCTTGGGGTTTTGGGCACACATGCTTGGCCTATTTTTCAAGCTGCCAGGTCTGGGACTTGAACCACAGTTGGCCATGTGGGATCTAGTGCCTTTACCACCATGCCATCTCCTGCACCCCACCCCACCCATTAGTTTATTAAGGTAGAAGTTTAGTTTACTAATTTTAATTTTCTTCTTTGTTAATATATGCATTTAAAGGTATAAATCTCCCTCTAATCGTGGCTTTCTCTGCCTCCTACAAATTTTGTTATGGTTTTTTATTTTCATTTGGCTCAAAATATTTTATATTTCCTTTGAGACCCCCTCTCTTACCCCATGGTTATTTAAACATATGTTAATCTCTAACTGATATTTCCCAGGATTTTTCTAGTTAATTCTATTGTAGTCTCAGAATCTACTTTGTATATCTATTCTTTCAGATTTGGAAGGTTTATGGCCCAGAATATAGCCTATCTTGGTGAATGTTGCATCTGCACTTAAAAGAGTATATTTTGTTTGCTGTCGTTGGTTGAAATGTTATATAAGTAGCCATGAGATTCTATTGAATGACAGTGCTTTTCAGGTCATCTAATCTTTGATTTTCTGCCTGCTTTTTCTTTCATTTACTGTAGAGTGTTATCGCCCGCTGAAGTCCTATGTCTATTTCTTCTTACAGGTCTGTCAGTTTTTATATGTTTAGTTTATACACATTTAGGGTTTTTGTATCAAGAACAAAGGAGTGATCTTGGCTGAGTCTGCTTTCAGATGAGGCTAATGGGTAAATACTGATAACATTTCCAAAAATTAGGAGTATATATATCCCTTGTTCCTCATGGAGGGGCATCACAGCATCCACTAGGAGTTTTCAGGTTTTCTCTTTCTTTTTTAGTTTGTTTTGGTGATACTTTCCTAAAATTGGTCCAAATTCTATAAACTTCCGAATTTATTGGCATAAAATAGTTCTCAAAGTCTTCCATTCAATGCATATTAATAAAGAAATATCTAAGGGAGCTAGTAGTGTTGTAGTTGGATCCTACATGGCTGACTGTGTGGTTCAAGTCCCGGACCTGGTGGCTTGAAAAATGCTGGGTATGTGTGCATGTGTGCCCAAAATCCTGAGAGGAGAATGAAGGGATTGCAGCATGGCCATTCTCGCTGGGGGGTGCTTTTTCATTCTCCCATTCTCTCACTCTCCTTGGCGAGCACATAGGCCCTAGAGCAAATGTAAAAAAAAAAGCCCCAAACAAAAAAAATCCCAGGATTTAAAATGTTAAGATTTCTGCTTTAATATATGCATTGTTTGTTGTTATATTTTTCTTCAATTCTGATATCGATTTTTAAAAATTACTTCTTCAGGTTGCTCCTAGGGCATCCAATCATTGATAAAATGTAGGGATACAGAGGCCCAGCCTTTTTATGCTAACTTTGGATAGGTTAGGAAATAGGAAAGGTCATCCTATCTCAGAACTCAGGGTAGAGTTATTTGGACAGAAACTCGAGTTTCTTTTTTTTTTTTTTGAAATTCTAGTTTTTTGCAAGGATGGGGGTATGTAAAGGGATTGTCCAATTGATGCATTAGCAACATATTTTATAATATTTTCAAAATGATTACTAAATCTTAATTACTTTTCCTAGTTTCCAAAAGAAGGAAGTCACAGAGGTATAATCATTGCAAGAGAAATGTCAGAAAATGCTATTATTTGTCACTGTAATAGGAAATAGGAGGAAAGGGGAAACAAAAGCCCTTATTATGTATTTACAAATTTCTATTTATAAATTTCCATTTAATACTTAAAACAGTTCTTTAAGGTATGTATCACTATATTTTATCAATGAAAAAAAAAACATAGCTGAAGGAGGTAAAGTAACTGATTCAAATCTGGGGGCTGGGCTTTGAATATACACTTACCTGATCTTAAAATGTTCTCTTTTCACTATGATAATCAAAATTAATATAAAAATCCTTATTACTGACTTTCTACATTGTGACATATTTTTAACCAGTAGCCCCTTTAACAAATAATGTTATGATTATGTTTGGAGATAAAGAAACAGTATGAATGCTAACAAATGTATTTTAATTATCATGGACCTTTTATTTGTCTATAAAAATAATCCTGTAGACCCTAACTCGAAGTGAGTTTTAAGACTCATGGTATTTCAACAGATAGATACTAAGCCTAATTGTTTTTGGGAAAGTGTGGAATATGATTTGGCATAGTGTGAGGTGATAACATGGAGTAATTTAAATAACTACTGTATTCACAAGTGTGCCGTCTTGCTCCTCACTCAAAAAGAAACAATTGGCAAGCAACCTTACCTGGGTCTCATGGTCAAGATAAGTGATTTATACCTCATACATTCATGCTCCAAAACCATTATTTAAAAAGTTAACCACAACACTTTGTTTCAATAAGGAATATTTATTAACACATATTAACATGCTTAGATAGCTAGTAAACCATTTAAATACATGCAACTGTCAGTGAACTGTAAAGAAAAACAAAATAACGTGAAGAACAAAATTGTTTTTAGAGAAATTTTTGTTTTATAGCCATCATATGTCCATTGGTATGTTAAAAAATTATTAACATTGGTAATATGGATTTTTTCACCATTCTTAGACTGAAGTTATTTTAAAGTTTTGGCAACATGAAGTTCACAATATAAAATTTACATTTAAGGCTGAATGTAAATTATAGACTTCACCAAGCCTGTGAGGATAGATATGCGATTAAAGATTTGCATTCTCAGATGCTGCCTAAAGCAGTTTCCTCTTGAGAAATCAAATGCTCATTATCACATGATAAAGATCAGTTTTCAAATAAAAATTTTTAGGACACATTAATTAATTCTTTGAGAGTACTATAATTTTTAGTTAATATCAACAAGCAATCTTTATATAAGATGTCAACCAACAAGAATTTAGATTTTCCAAAATGATTTCCTCATATTTTCCTGAAAATAAAATTCTATCGGCTCTTATTTATTTTGATAATTCGTTGTAGAAGTCTAATCAAATCATCTAGAAGTAGTACTATTGACAACGACCACTTAGATTCAGCACTTACTCTGTGCTACGCACCAAGCTAAGCATTTTATAGACATCAACCCATTTAATGTTTACAATAACTCAAGGTACGTAGGTATTATTAGCCCCATTGTATAAAAAACAAAACTGAGCCTTACAGAGGTTAAGCGGTAGCCAAGTTCAAACAATAACTTTGTAAGTGCTAGAACCAGGAAGTTAAGGCAAGTTTGTCTTACTATTAATTCCAGAGCCAGAGCACTCAATCACTGTATTGTATACAGTTAGTGAGAGACCCCTGACATGCTGTAATGAAGGTGAATGTTTAAAAACGTTATCTGTGACACATTCCCAAAAGTATAATCTGCATCATTAGAACAAGAAACAAGATCAAGTGGAACATGAAAGATCCCACTCAATTATTTTTATTGTACATGTCTTTTTCCATCATCATTACCCTAATATGATAAATACATAAATACCAGAGAACATGCAACACATTTCACAAAAGAAGAAAAATGTACACCACTGGAATAAAGAACCCAAATTACTGTATACAAAGTGCTTAAAAAAAAAAAAAGACCTGTGACACATTGAGATCATATTTATTTGAATACTTTCCAATAATTACCAAGAGATGCATAATTTATAAATTAAATTCAAAATCCCCTATTTTCTTCCATAAGCCAGAATTTAATACTTGAACTAATCAAATGGATAGCTCTTCCATTATGTAATATTAAGGGCAAGTCACATAGCATCAAAATGAAACCGATGGGCTTCTTGTCGCTTTTCTCTATCATCTGCTTTCTGAAAAAGAATTTTAGATTAGTTTATAAATGATAAAATCTCAAGAAAAGACTCATTTCTGAAATACGAAGTGATTAATTTTTTAAAAAGCCCTCAGCAATGAGTAGAAAATAGGTGTGTTTTATAATGCAGTTGTCTTAAAATATTCTTAAAGTGCATAGTAGCTATTTTATAATTAATGAGTTAGTAGTTGAATTTAAAAACCAATAAGAAATGTTCCTTAAGTACTTAGCTTGTTATTTTTTATTTATTTGAGAGTAGGAGTTAACATTAAATTTTATAAAGATTGACTCAACTATTGCATTTCCCCCCATTCTTATCAATGATGTTAACAAATTAACCTGAACTATATTAAAGTAAATGAATTATTTTTCAGTTAACCTATTGATTTAGCAGATATTTATTGACCCTCTGCCCCCAGCAAGGTATTTTGCTTGGTATTTTGAGGGATTAAAAAAATAAATCCCTTGGTTTTATATCTTGTTCTCCAGGAACTTAAAGCCTAGGAAGAAAAAAAGTGAAACATACTTCAGGATAAAAAATGAAAAATGTTAGCAATATTCTAAGAGAGATTACCTCTAGCTTTGAAAAGACAGTATTTATGAAAATTGAGAGGAGGGGCATTCACTTCTAGTGTGGGGGCGGTGCAAATAAACAATCATGTAAAGTATGTAAGGAGCATGAAAGGACTGATACAATAAAATTGTACAAAAGGTATACTGTGGTGTCACATGGAAGTACTGTGGTGCCAGGCTAAGAAGTTTACACATTTTAGGTCATCAGAGGTTTGGAATAGGGGATGGGAACCTAGGACCTTTGTCATGTGGCATTACCACTGTGCTGCCACCTGGCCCCAAATACTGATTTTGAGGAGCTTTTAAACAATCTAGGTAGAGATACTATGGTGACAGTTGGAAATGAGGAAAGAGACCTGCAGGTGAAAGATGGAGATGTCTGAGGTAACAGCTGAAGTCATGATTTTGGGATGAAACTGGTGGGGAAAGTCTAGAAGAGGGCCTAGGGTAGATACTGGGGAAAACCTACTTTGAGGAAACAGTAGGAAGGGGTAGCTAGCATGGGTGAAAAAGTAGTCAAATAGATAGAAGAACCATCATAGTGCCATAGGAGACATTATATATACATGGACAAATAGATACTTGTATTCAACACTTCAATTTTTAGTCACTGCATTATTACTATTATAAGCCCACAATGTTTATGCTGTGATCAGATCTGAGAAGTTAAATTAATTTCCTTTTCTTCATAGGACAAGAGCTATGTAATATTTCACACTGTGTTCTGATACTTCTGGACAAAGTACTGAGTTATTAGAAAAGTAATGGTGCATTTTTGCATAGAAAAAATAGGTCATGACTTTTCTGATGACCCAGTATATAGGGTCATCCTTGTAATCTTTTCTTTTTTTTAAAGAGTTTTTTGCCTTAGTGTGTGTGTGTGCTTGCTGGAGAGAGAGACAGACAGACACAGTGAGAGGGAAAGTGAGATGGGATGGCCATGCTGCAGTCCCTCCTCCTCCATTCTCTTCTTGGGTTCTTGGGCATGCACGCACATACTCCTGGTGTGATTTGGAAGCCACTGGGACCTGAACCATGGTTGGCCATGTGAGAGTCCAGAGATGTAACCGCTATGCCATCTGTTGTACCCATCCTTGCAATCTTAAGGTTAATTGAGTATGTAACTTTATGTTATTGTCAGGAGTGACTTTTTTTTTTTGAGACAAAGTTATGAGCTTTATCAGAACAATTAACATGTTCTTATTTCATAACTTATAAGAGCAGCTAAGGTAAAACAAATGGTAATTTAGTTAGTGAAACATAATTATGATGGGCCTAACAAACCAAAGAGAATAGGTGCAGAAAAATAAAACATCTTTCTTTTGTGACCCAAAGAGCCCTTTCTGGGTGACATTATTGGAACCTAGCTGTTAATCTTGGAAAATGAATGTCTATGACTGTATCTGTAGATAATGAATACAGGCTCATTTTAAAGAATGATCATTGGAGGCCAGCAGGTGTCGTGTTGGTTAAGAGTGCTGGAGTCTGGAATCCCACATGGCCGACCATAGTTCAAGTCCTGGACCTGGTGGTTTGCTTTCTCATTTTCCCTCTCTCTCTCTCTCTCTCTCTCTCTTTCTCACTCTTTCTCCGTCCCTCTCTGATCAAATTAAAAAAGAAAATTACATAAAGCTAAATAAAAGAATTCTTTAACAAAAAAGAATGATCATTATTTTTCAGGCCATTATGAAATTATTTCTAGTTAAGCTTTCCTATATGCCTGGTGATTTTCAGGTGATCACTGTATTACTATTGCACAGCATCAAACTTTTAAAATGAGGTCTTCTGTGCTTTGTATGAATTGATAAGAGAATTGCTAAGTAACTTCAAGGGATAAAAGAAATTATCAATAAAGTGACACTTTCAATAAAACTTAAAGATGAGATTTTAGTCATGTGAAAAGTTTAAAAGAAATATAGTGTTTTGTAAGAAGAATACATTACTATAATAAATTAATAAAAGTTAATGTTTCCTTTAAATGAACAAACCTTTTCCTGCCAATGTAAAATGCCAATTATTGCCAAGATGAAAACGCAGACACCGATGAGAGCTATAGCAGTAAGTAGAACAATGTTACTTGGTGTAAGATATAGTTTGGCACTCCAGCTGTAGATAGAAACAGAAATATTAAAATTACAAATTTTAATTTAAAAATAACAAACAGACTAAGAAGCAAAACAGTTTATTAATCAATGAAATAGCCAATTCATGTTATCATTCATCCATTCATCCGTTCATTATAAATAAAACAAAAGTAATTAAATTTAGATAGTACTAAGGATATTGATGATCCTACAGAGTTAATATTTTACTCAGAGAACTGAAATAAACTTCTTGATGAGCTGTTTCAATATTTTTTTTCAAGTTTGATCCTGTGAAGATTATTCTTAAATAAACTTATCAAGGGTACCTCAGATAATTATAGATATCTTTTTAAGATCTTAATTGATTGTTGAATTTGAAACCTTGAACTCTTAAGGCTATATGGGCATATAATTTTTAAAAATAATAATTTAGTTAATTCCATTTGTTATTATTATTTTTTAATTTGACCAGAGAGAGACAGACAGAGAAAGGGAAAGGGAGAAAGCAAGCTGCCAGGTCTGGGACTTGAACTGTGGTCGACCATGTGGGAATCCACTATCTTTAACCACCACATACCTGCCAGCCCCATGGGCATATGATTTTAATAAGGCTTCTACATCATCTTATTTTTTGATCCCTGTCCACATATGTAGTATGACCAACTAAACCAACCATATGTCTGAGTGAGTGTATAAATAATGACTTGTGCAAAATTTCTACCATTTCTGTGTCATGTTGGAGTGTTTACATTAATATACTAACTTTTAGGTAGAAACCACTTACAAAATCACCTCTAGTTTCTCACTGGTAGTGGTAATATTCAGACTAAAGAACTTTAGCATAAATAACTAGCTCTTTCCTCTTAAAGCAGTCCACATAATGCAACCAAAGCCTATATCATTTATACTGCATAGAAATTTTTGTTCTTCCTGTAAACACATAATGAATACATTTTAATTTCAAAAGTCTAAAAAAGGTAAGCGATTTAGATAAACAGTAAACAGCTATTGATTTATTTTGGTATAATTAAAATTTATTGATCCAAAAGTTAGAATCTAGTTAACGAATTTACACCTAAAACTAAAATCAATTTGGTTATTATGTACATAAATTTAAAAAAAAGACATTTCTTTGAAAAGAGCAAAAGAAACTTATGAAAAATGTGAGATTTTAGAAGAAAGTTATGGCAGAATTTTATGAAAATCAGGATAGGTAAACCTTAAGAAAACAAATACCACTAAGCTGGCCTAATAGTCTAGTGGTTAAGGGAGCTGGATCCTGGCCCCAGTGACTTGAAAAAGCTGCTGTGTGTGCATTCATGCCCTAAATCCCTATGGAATGGAAAAAAGAAGGGATTGTGGTATGACCATGCCCCATTGGGAGTTGCTTTCTTCTCTCCTGTCTCTCTCAGGTGAGCCCACATACTTTCTGCAAATTAGGGGAAAAAAAGTTCTGGAACTTAAAAAAATTATTCAACTTAATTTCTTCTTAGTATTATTTTTAATTTGCTATAGGGTACAAGCACTCACCAGAGAGAGACAGAGAGAGAGGAAGAGAAAGTGAGAAAGCAAGCTGCCAGGTCCAGGACTAAAAATGTGGTTGGCCATGTGAGAATCTAGCACCTTAATCCCCATGCCACCTGCTGCCGCCTCTGGGACATTTATGATAGTTCTATTTTTAATTAAAAAAAAATGTTAGAAGGTGTGTGTGCTCATCAGAGAGAGACTGAGAAGGAAAATAAGAAAGCAATCCACCCCATGAAGAATGGTCACATTGCAATCTCTTAATCTTTTCTCCATTTTACCCTCCTTCTTGGTATTTTGGGCATGTATACCATGCACCTGGTGTGTGTCTCAAGCTGCTGGATCTGGGACTCAAACTGAGAAGCTGGTCATGTGGGATCCAGCTGCCATAACCACTACACCATGGGCTGGCCCCTATTTTTAAAATAGATTTTTAAAAATCTGGGACCAGCAGTTGGCGTAATGGCTATGTCACTGAACTCCCATGTAGTTGACTGGGGTTCAAGTCCAGGACCCGGTGGCTTAAACTCACATCGGGCATGTGTGCGTCTGTGCCCAAGATCCTGAGAGAAGAATGGAGGAGAAGGGATTGCTGTGTGGCTATCCTCCCTGGGGGGTGATTTCTCTTTTTTTTTTGAGAGTTTTTTTTCCGCTATAGGGCGCCTGTGTTTGTCAGACAGACAGAGACAGAGAGACAGAAAGTGAGAAATCACCCCCCGGGGGGATGGCCATGCCGCAATTCCTTCTTCTCCATTCTCCTCTTGGGATCTAGGGCATGCACACACATGCACCCGGCGTGAGTTTTAAGCCACTAGGTCCGGGACGCGAACCGCGGTTGACTACATGGGAGTCCAGTGACATAGCCATTACACTAACTGCTGGTCCCTGGGGGAGGGGGGATATTTCTTTGAGTGCACATGTCCTATAGCAAAAACCTCTCCAAACAAACAAACACAAAAAAACCCCCAGTAATATAGGCATTGTGGCTTAAAAAAAAAAAGAAAAAAAAAAGGACAAAAAACAAATCCTTTGTTTCTTACCTAGAGGGAAGTCACTCTCACCAACTATTTCTTGCATATCCTTTCAGAGATTTATTTTCCTTAAATAATTATTTTCTATATTTATCATTATTGTTATTTATTTTATTTTTTGGAGAAGGTGCAAGCGCTTTGCCAGAAAGAGAGAGAGAGACAGAGAGACAGAAAGTGAGAAATCACCCCCAGGGGGGATGGCCACGCCACAATCGCTTCTCCTCCATTCTCCTCTCAGGATCTTGGACATGCATGCACACTCACCCGGTGTGAGTTTAAGCCACTGGGTTCGAGACTTGAACCATGGTTGACTACATGGGAGTCCAGTGACATAGCCATAACGCCAACTGCTGATCCCCATTTTTAATTTGACCAGAGCGAGACACAGAGAGAGAGAGAAAGAGAGAGAAAGCAAGAAAGCAAGTTGCTAGGTCTGGGACTCGAACCATGGTTAGCCATATGAGAGTCCAGTGTCCCAACCACTACAATACCTGCTGGCCCTCTTTCAGAGATATTTTATACATACACACACACACTCACACATTTACATAGAATGCACAGATAATTTGTTTTGTTTGTTTTGCTACAGGATGCATGCATTTGCCCAAGAGAGAGAGAAAAAGATAGAGAAAGGGAAAGTGAGAAATAACCACCAGAAGGGATGGTCACACCTCAATCCTTTCTTTTCCATTATCCTGTTAGGATCTTGGGCATGCACAGACATGGGCCCAGCATGATTTTCAAGCCCAAGGCCTAAACTGAGCAGGTGGCCATGCAACCTGCTGGGCCTAAAAGATAATCTTTTAAAATCACAATGGTCGAGGGGCCAGCAGGTGGCATGGTGATTGAGATGCTGGATTCCCACATAGATGACCATGGTTTGAGTTCCAGACCGGAGGCTTACTTGCTTTCTCACTCTCCCTCTCTCTCTGTCTCTCTCTGATCAAAACTGAAAAACAACAATAAATAAAATTTAAAATAAATTATTCTTTAAAAAAAATCACAATGGTTGAGTATTACACATACTTTTCTTCATTTTGCTCCTTTTATTTCTCTCTCTCTCATTTTTTGTTTTTGTTCTTTTGCTTACTACTCCATCTTAAAGAGATTGCTCTAGGTCTAAGGCAGTACACATAAATGAGTCGTGATAACGCACTGTATGGAGGAACCGTACTCTCTGTATAGTTTCCTACTCATGTTCCAGCTTTTCTAGTTTTGTTATAAGTTTCCTGTATAGAAAGCTAACACAAATGTACATTTCAAAGAATACATTAAAAAAGCCTGTTCTAGGACCAGAGCTGCTTTTATTGATGTCATCTTATTTCAAGCATAATGGTGTAATAAAGTTTGTTTTCTTAAGCAGTGTGGTTCTAAAGCCCAAAGTCTACCATAAAACACATCTAGTGATATGCTAGTAAACGAGCTCTCTGGGGGAGGGGAATGAGGATGAGGAAAGCCTGATTTATGGCATTTGCCAATTTTCGTGGAGTAAAATTCTTCCACCGTAACTTATTTTGATGTGACTACTGAATACAGATGGAAACATGCACACAGTCAGCTTATGAAGGAGCATGAACTGTTCCTAGTGTACCGCTAACTATATCCCATATCAAAATTAAATAAAAAATAAGAAAGCCTGTATTTTGAGAAGAAATGTAATAAGCAGGACACCAGTGGTTACATATTCATAGATAAATTACACTTTTTCTCTTTGGTTATTTTCTCAGTTGATATAAGACTAGCATATTCTGGGACCAGCAGTTAGAGTAATGGCTATGTCACTGAACTTCCATGTAGTCGACCGTGGTTTGCGTCCCGGACCCGGTGGCTTAAAACTCATGCCGGGCATGAGTGCGTGTGTGCCCAAGATCCCAAGAGGAGAATGGAAGAGAAGGGATTGCAGTGTGGCCATCCACCCTGGGGGGTGATTTCTTGCTTTCTGTCTCTCTGTCTGTCTGGTGAGTGCACCACCCTATAGCAAAAACCTCTCCAAAAAAAGAGAAAAAAAGAAAGCGAGAAATCACCCCCCCTGGGGGGTGGGGTTGGCCACACCACAATCCCTTCTCCTCCAATCTTCTGTTGGGATCTTGGGGATGCACTCCCACATGTCCAGCGTGAGTTTAAGTCACTGGGTCCAGGACTTGAACCATAGTCGACTACATGGGAGTCCAGCAACAGCCTTTGTGCCAACTGCTGGTCCCTCTTACTAATGAGTTTAAATGTTACTGAATACCTTTATCACCTACTTTAATAGAATAAATTAAATCTAGTAATTTAAATAAAATCAAAGATTAAGTGAAAGATTTTGTGTTAAATTCTTTATTATAAAAGGAATATAGTCTATTATAGAGGACAAAAATGCCTACTGTTCACTTACTATATGCTTGGTACTGTGTTAAGTATATTTTATCCTCATTCTTATAAGGTAGGTATTCTATCTCCCATTCTACAAGCAGAAATCCAGCCTCAGAAAGGACAAAGGACTAGTTCTCAATATAACAGTCAGCAAGCATTGGGTCTGAGTTTATCCAGCATAGGCCTGTTTGACTCCAAAATTTGTACCAATCACTGTGGGATATATACCAATTCTCAAAGAATTCATTAAAAACTATTAGTGTTTATTCCAAATTTAGCACCCTGTGGGGCTGGCAGGTGGTACAGTGGTTAAGGTGCTGGACTCCTACATGGTTGACCATGGTTCGAGTCCCAGACCTGGCAGCTTGCTTTCTCACTTTGCCTTTCTCTCTCTCTCTCTATGATCAAATTAAAAAAAAAAAAAAATAACAACAACAACAAAACATTTAGCATCCTGAAATCTTATCATTTATAACCAGAAACTGAAGAACAATTATTTAAGCAGAATATATACAAGTCCCTAAGTAGTTGACCCACTGTTTTTCTAATAGGATTGAATTTGTTCTTCACAAAAATTGTCAGGGGCCTTTTGCATAGGTACATTTGGTCATTTAAAGTTATCTGTCTGCAAATTAAGTGATGAACACTGACAGAACACAGCAGGATGAGAGAATTTTTCAAAGACGTAGCTATACCTATGATTCAAAATCAACAGTATATTGGGGCCAGCAGGTGGCATGGTGGTTAAGGCTCTGGAATTCCCACATGGCTGACCACGGTTCGAGTACTGGACCTGGCGGCTTGCTTTCTCACTTTCCCTCTCTCTGTTTTTCTCTGGCAAAACTCATGTGAAATAATAAATAAATAAATAAAAGAATTCTTTAAAAACAAAACAAAACAAATCAACAAGATATCTTTACCAAATTCAGTTCAAGCAAAGTCATTACCTTCGAGGGACATTGTGAGGGTATGGAATGACAATTAGCTGAGAATTTGGAATGATTGCAGTCCATTCTTGTTTTCGTATAGACTGGAAAAAGAATGAAGAACTTTTAACATAGAGTACATTTTCAAAAGGCAATCATTATTGTAGATAAATAAGAGAAACTCTCAAATATTTTGAGAAATTAAAATACTAGGTATGGATTAAACTAAGTTTACATGTATTAACCCCCAAATAGAGTTCCTGTGCCATCTGCTGGGAAAATTTTCTGATCTCTTCAAGAAGGATTATATTTGTGTATTATAAATTTATTCATTTAATAAACATTAAATGAACACTAATGTAGCAAGCACTGTTCGAAGTGCTAGGAAAAATGCTGCTTGGAGCTATTGGGTTGTTGGAAAAGTCATGACTAATTTTTGCACAGAAAAATACATCATGACTTATCTGACAACCCAATATGTATACATAGGTATAATACTATTTTCCTTACGTTACTAAAATATTTTACCTATGCATATTTGGTGGTGAAAACACTAATGGCAAAAAGCAAGAAAGAGGGACAGAAAATCGTGAGGCTTACAGGTAAGGAGGTAGAAACTATAATATCTTCAAATCATGATGTCCTCTATGTAAGAAAAGTTTAGGTAGGTCACTAACTACTTTTTTTTAATTCTTTAAGGGAAATATATAATATTTTAATTATTTGAACACAAATTCAATTGGATTTAAACTATTGAATTAAAATATTTAAATGATATACTAAAACAGAGATTAATTAGAAATAAACTAAATTTTTCCTTACCTTTTCTCCAGATGGACGAGGAATACCAACATATAGGTGGTCAAGAAAATTTGCACTTCGACCTAACCCAAGAACGTTGTATGGTAGTTGGAGAGCTAAATGTGCTGACTGGCTGAGTTGTCCAGCTGGATTTGTTGAAAAACAAAACAAAACATTACTTTCATAAACTATTAAAATGATAAAATGTTAAAATTTTAGACTAGAAGTTTTAAGTATAAAAATGTGAAACTAAAAAAAAATGTGAAATGAAACATCTAGTTCATTAATATTGATTCACTTTTCAAAGAAATACAGCTTTACTGAGATGTAAATCCTATAACTATAAAAATAAACCATTTAATATGTACAGTAAAGTGGTTTCGGGTTTATTTAAAGACTTGTTCAGCCATGGCACAATCTTACTTCAGTACATCTTCATCACTTTAAAGAGAAACTCCATACCCATTAGTGCAGGTAATTACTAATCTGCTTTATTGATTTACCTATTCTGGAGAGTTCATATAATCGCAATTATATAATATGTGTCTTTTGTAACTGGATTCTTTCACTTAGCATAATGTTTTCAAAGTTCATTCATTCTGTAGCATGTTTCAATAATTCATTACTTTCAAATCATGCTCAATTATGATATATATTACATTTTATTCATTAAAGTTCATTAATCAATGGACAACTGAGTGATTTACACTCTAGCTATTATGAATAATGTTGCTATGAACATTCATAAACAAGTGTTTTATATTTACTTGTTTTCCTAACCATTGATTATATTCCTGGGAATGTTTTAGTCTTAAGAACTACCAAAGTGGTTTTTTTTGTTTTTCTTTTTTAGATTTTTGCCATAGTGTGTATGAGCTCACCTGAGAGACAGAAAGCAAGAAATCACCCCCCAGGGAAGATGGCCATGCTGCCATCCCTTCTCCTCCATTCTCCTCTTGGGATTTTGGACACACATGCAGATGCATCTGGCTTGTTTCAAGCGCCCGGGTCCGATACTCTAACTTTGGTAGGCCATGTGAGAGAGTCCAGCGATGTAATGCTGGTCCCCAAAGTGGTTATTTATTTATTTATTTATTTATTTATTTTTGGCTTCCATTGGCTATGTGATGAGGGCTCCAATTTCTGCATGTCCTTGCTAATACATTTTATGGCCTTTACGATTACAGTCATCTTAGTGTTTGTGAAATGGCATCTCATTGTATTTTTTCTTTTTTTTTTCCTTAAGTTTATTTATTCCATGAGGGAAGGAGAAAGAGAGCAAGCAAAGAGGTTCACACCTTTGACAGAGTCTCTACACCAGCGATCTGCTACCAGCCTTAGCCAGCCTTGGGCACAAATGTTCCCAGCATCCTTACAATCATTTCTGGACACTAATGGTAACTTTCTCATGTGGGTCTGGCTTGCAGGACATTGCATTTTGCTGCTGTGCCACCACCTGGCCCTCTCAGTGTGGTTTTAATTTGCATTTACTTAATGAGTAATGATGCTGAACTTCTTTTCATGTGCTTATTGGTGATTCATGTATATCCCTTTTTATTTCTGTAAGGTTAGTAGTGGTTACCTCTTTCATTCTAGACTTTAGTAATTTGAGTCTTCTGTTTCTCTTGGCCAGTCTAACTAAAGGTTTGTCAATTTTATTAGTATTAAAAAAAACTTTTTGCTTAATTGGTTTTCTCTATTCCCTGTTTCATTTATTTCCTCTCATAATTTACTGCTTTCTGCTTGCTTCGGGCTTAGTTTGCCTTTTCTCCTAGCTTCTTAAAGTTTATTTATTACTTCCATGACACACAGATGAACACACACACACAATCATACATAAAGAGAGAGACAGAGACAGGGTCTTCACACTGCAGTCTACCTCATCCTTTGCCCAGCTGGAACGTGAGAACACACAGGGGGATTGTAAGACTCAAACCCAGGGCCTTCCCATGTGGGTTTAGTTCTATTAGTATGCTACCACTCACCTACTATCTTTTTTTTTTTTCCCCGCTAGTTTCATAAGGTAGAAGACTAGGCTACTAATTTCAAATTCTTTCGAATCTTTTTTTAGAGAGATATTTGCTATAGGGTGCATGCGCTCAGTGGAGAGACAGAGACAGAAAAGGAGAAATCATATCCCAGGGATATGGCCACACAACAATCCCTTCTCCTCCATTCTCCTCCTGGGATCTTGGGCATACACGCACATGTGCTTGGCATGAGTTCCAAGTCGCCAGGTCAGGGACTCAAACTGCAATTGACTACGTGAGAGTCCAGAACATAACTATTACACTATTTGCTCCCAGATTGTTCTTATTTTTAATGTAGGCATTTCCAGCAGTAAATTTTCCTCTAAGAACGGAGTTAACTGCAGCCCATACATTTTGGTATATTGTGTTATTTATGTTCACCTCAAAGTATCTTCTAATTTTCCCTGGAAATTTTTTCTTTGATCCATTGTTTACTTTGGAGTATACTGTTTAATTTCCACATTTCCAAAATCTCCTTCTGTTACTGACTTTTAATACCATTCCCTTGTGGCTGGAGAATATAGTTGGTATAATTTTAATCCTTTTATATTTTCTGAGTTTTGTTTTATGACTTAGCATATGATCTATCCTGGAGAATGTTCCATGTGCATTTGAGAAGAACACATCTTCTGCCATAGTTGGATGGAGTATTCTATACATGTCTGTTAGGTTTACTTGGTTTATAGTGTTGTTTGAATCTTATCTTTCTTTGTTGATACTATGTCTAGTAGTTTGATGCATTATGAAAGGTGATATTAAAGTCTCCAGTTGTTTATTATTGAATTGTCTATTTCTCCTTTTAATTCTTCATGTATGTTAGGGGCTTTATTGTTAGGTGTGTATATATAGGTTTTTATAGTTGCTATATTTTCTTTATGGTTTAACATTTTTATTATAAAATATACTTTGTCTTTGGTAACAATTTTTGTGTTAAAGTCTAATGTGTCTCTTAAAGACAGTAGCTATTTGGATTGTATTTTTCTTTATTTCTTCTGCCAATGTCTGCTTTTTGATAAGAGTGTTTATTCCACTTACATTTAATGTAATTATATTCTATTTACATTTAATGTAATTACTGACAAGATATTAATGGTATCAATGCCTGTTATTTGTTTTTCTATGACTTATATTATTTTAATTCATTTTAATGTTTAAAATTCTATAGCTGCTTTCTTTAGTTAAGTATTTTCTAGTATACCATTTTAATTCTTTTGATGTTTCTTTTACTATATGTAATTTTTAAAAAACATTTATTATCATAATCTTGTTTAGACTACATTGAATCACATATAACTTTACAGTGTATTATATTTCTTTTTCCAGAAGGAATACCATTCATATCAGTCAATACAGAGACATTAAAATCCCCATCATCATCATTCAATAGCTTTTAGTTTTTTTTCTCAGATTATTATTATTCCAATTTTTTTAAAAAAATTCAATCACTATTTATCATTTTGCTTGTAAAAAAGACTTTACCCAACATGAACTACTTCTCATACCTGTCCAGTTGAGAATACTATACAAATCATCAACAGGTAATAAAACATATCTGAATCCCACTAATGTACTGCGTCTCTGTTCTCTTGCTATTTTTCTCCATACTTTTCTCTTCTCCTGCCCCATTCCACACTGTCTTATCATCACTATTTTCACAGCTTTTATGGCCTCCAATATTTCAAGTGCAGATAGTCGATATATATTAAGTGGATACATACAATATATTATTGGATCAAATGGTAGTTCTATTTGTAGATCTTTGAGGACCCTCCATATTGTTCTCCACAGTGGCTGAACCAGTTTACATTCCCACCAAGAGTGTAGGAGAGTTCCCTCTTCACCACATCCCCACCAACACTTAACACTTTTTATATTTTTAATCTTTGCCATTCTGACAGGGGTTAGGTGGTAGCACATTGTGGTTTTAATCTGCATCTCCCTTATGCTGAGGGATGTTGAGCATTTCCTCATATGCTTTTTGACTGTATGTATGTCTTCTTTAGAGAGATTTTTGTTCAGATCATTTTATCATCCTTTAATTGGGTTAATCATTTTTTTTTTTTTTACTTATCAGTAAATTTTTTAGTTACTTCCTCAGTGTTTGCCCTTGGGACTGCAATTAGCATCTTAACTTAAAATCTGATTCTGATTAATACCAATTTAATTCAAAGGGCATATATCTATATTCTCTACCCTTCCTCCTTTGTGCTGTTTTGATATTTTTTTGTTACACAAATCACATTTCATGTATAATCAGTTCATCAATACAAATGTATGATTATTACTATATGCAGTTATCTTTTAAATATGATGGAAATCATAACAGGCATTTACATAAGAAAATGCATAAGAAGTTATATTAACTTTTATATTTATTTAGGCAGGTCGGCCAGGGATGAATTCTGTTTTTGTTTATCTGGGACTGTGTAAGATCTTTCATTTTTGAAGGATAGATTTCTCAGATATATTTTTGCTATAAGGTACATGTGCTTATGGTGGAAGTTGGGGCTGGGTGAGAAAGTACCTCCTGGAGGGATGGTAATGCTATAATCCCTTCTTCTCTGTTCTCCTCTCTGGATTTTGGGCATGCATGCACATGTGTCCAGAGTGTTTTTCTTTTTTTTTTGAATTATTATTTAATTATTATTTTCTTTAAGAATTACTTAATTTTACTTATTATTTTTAAGTATGCTATAGAGCACACATACTCACCAGAGAGAGAGAGAGAGAGAGAGAGAGAGAGAAAGTGAGAAAACAAGCCGCCAGGTCTGAGACTCAAACTACGGTTGGCCATGTGGGAGTCCAGTGCTGTAAGCATCATGCCACCTGCTGCCTCCCTCTCCCCCAAGTGTGTTTTTCAAACCGCTGAGCCTGGGACTTGAATTGCACAGCTGACTATGTGGAATCCAGTTGTCTTAACTACCATGTAATTGACTAGTCCCAGATTTAAAAAAAAAATTATTGATAGACAATTTTTTTTCCTCTCAGCATTTTTTTTTTTTTTGAGAGATTTTGGCTATAGGGCACGTGCACTTGCCAGAACCCACAGAGAGACACAGAGACAGAAAGTGAGAAATCACCTCCAGGGGTGATGGCCATGCCACAATCCCTTTTTA